CGTGCTGGGCCCAGAACTGGATGTGGTAGTGCACACCTGTAATCCCAGCAATGGAGAAGCTGAGACAGGAGGATCATTATAAGTCCGAGCTATATAGCAAGATCCTATATCAAAAAAAGGAAAGGCAGTTGGTTAATTTTAAGTCCTTCTCAGAGCTGCTTCCTAGTGGTCTTCATCATCATGAGACCCAGTGGGTGCTTCTTGGTTTACATCGCACACGACCTCAGTAATACTCAGCATGGTTGACCGTATTCTCCCATCCTGGACATGACAGCGGCACACTCTCTGGTTTTCTTCTGGATGCAGTGCCAGTGTCTCAGCCTCTTTTATTGGCCACTCCTCTGCCCAAAATATTTAACTACTAGCTAGGCACAGTGGCACACATCTGTCACCTCAGCATTCTGGGGGGCTGAAGTAGGAAGGTTGCAAGTTTGTCCCCAACTTGGGCAATTTAGTGACTTAGTGCGACCCTGTCTCAAAATTAAACAATAAATAACTAAGTGGGACTGGGATGGCAGCTCAGTGCCAACGCCCTGGATTCAATCTTTAGTACTATAGAGCAAACCAAAATATAAATGCTGAAGGGCTAAAGAGCTCAGTGTTAAGCCCCTTCTTGTCACCTATTTTTGCCCTCTCAGTAATTTTCCTTAAGCTGTGTGTTTTAAGTGTCAGTGATAGGACAACTCATACCTCTATCCTTCACTACTGTCAAAAAACTCATACAGACTGAATCCTCCCACCCCTTGGTGGCCTTCAGCATCTCTGACTTGGTGCTATGGTTGGGTGGGGCTTGCTGTGTCTCCTGAAGGTGCCAGTGCTGGAAGCTGGGTTCTCAGCATTCAGGGCTGAGGTGTGGCCCCTGTCAGAGGTAGGGCCTAGTGGGCAGGATGAGGTCCTCAGGTGCCGCCCATGGAGAGGAGCCACGCAGCACTCATGAGACCAGGCTCAGGTCCCAGCTTAGCACAGGGACAGGTGCCTGCCCAGACTCTGCTGCATGTCTCGCTGTGAGCTCTTCTGTCTGCACTCCTGCCACTGTGATGCCTTCCACAATGCGGTCACCACCAGAAGCTGTGAAAGGGACTTCCTGACCCTAGACTTTTGGCCTCCAAAACTGTGAGCTAAATAAATCTCTTCTCTTTACAAAGTACCAAGCTTCAAGTATGTTGCTATAGCAACAGAAAATTAAGAGCACAAGATGCCCTGGTACAAACAGCTTTTGGTCTTCAGCCTCCAAACCTGCTTGTTCTTAATCTTTTCACCATCAGCCATCAAGCAGAAACCAGGGTACAACATTTGATCTCCATGATGTGTATGATCACTTTTCTTCGAGTCAGTTAATGAAACTTCCAAACATAGCCTAAATGAGTCACCTGCACTCCACCTGCTGTTGCCTGAGTTCAAGCAACATCGTCCTGTTCAGTTACAGCCCTCCTTACTCTCTCTTGCCCTTGGTAATCTGCACTCCATGTAGCTTGCTTGCTGGCTGGCTTTCTTTCTTTCTTTCTTTCTTTCTTTCTTTCTTTCTTTCTTCCTTCCTTCCTTCCTTCCTTCCTTCCTTCTTTCCTTCTCTCCTTCCTTCCTTCTTTTTCTTCCTTCCTTCCTTCTTTCCTTTCTTTCTTCCTTCTTTTATTTTCAAGACAGGGTCCACTATGCAGTTCAGGCTGGCCTTAAACTCAGTATGTAGCCCAACCTCCATGGGCTCCTGCCTCAGCCTCCCAGTGCTGGGATTACAGACATGCACCACTATGCCCAACAAACAGTCAGTGGCTTTTGGATGACCAACAGTACAACTTCATGGCACCTCACCTATAATGAAGCTCAAGCTCCTTCAGGCACCCAGAGCCTGCCTATCTCTCTAACCTACTTGTACATACTCTTCTTCTCTTACTCCACTGTGGCCTAGCTTGGGACCTTCCACAGCAGCTTTCTTTTCTTTCCATTGCAATTTAAACTTCACCTCCTTGGAAACCCACTCTGGTCAGAACACTCTGCAAACGCAATTACATATCTTTTCTGTCTTTTTTTTTTTTTTTTTTTTTCCGGAACTGGGGATTGAACTCAGGCCCTTGCACTTGCCAGGGAAGTGCTTATTCCACTGAGCCATCTCCCCAGCCCTTCTTTTCTGTCTTTTATATCTCTTTGCAATCAGAAATTAAACCCTATGAGAGCAAGTTTCAGTCTGTTTCATTCTCCACAATATCCTTCAGTGTCTAGAACATGACTTGGCACATAGGACATGCTGGAATAAGTGATATTCCTCAATTATTATTTGTGTAGCATAAACCAGATTGCATGAAATATGGCATATGTATACAATGGTTGTGGCTTATCTTCAGATGTCCTTCTAAAGGGTCATGTGCTCATGGGTGGAGCTTTTGGCAGGTGGCTGGATCATGGGTGTATGATACTGGATTATGGGTGTGTGGTGACTAAATTAGTCCACTGGTTGGATTAGCATAGTTCTGGGTGTGGGTAATGAGAAAGCTCTCCTAAGTTGTGGGTGGTATCAACCAATAGGCTTTTAGCCTGGGTTGAATAAAAAGGGAGAGGGAGGCTTGCTGTTGGCTGCCTTTTGTCTGCCTTGGCATGGACCATTTTTGGAGCCAGCCAGTGCTGGACAGACACCTCTACACACTGAGATAAAATAAATCTTTCCTCTTTAATTTGTGGGTGTGTAGCATTGTGTTCCAATAATAAAGGAGCAAGTAAGACAAATGGGTACAGCTATTTTAAATAATGAGGCTTGGCAAGCATGATGGCCCATGCCTGTTATCTCATTACTCTGGGAGGCAGAGGGAGGAAGATGACAAGTATGAGCCTAGTCTGGGCAATTTAGTGACTTAGCAAGAATCTGTTCCAAAATAAAAAATGGCTGGAGATGTAGCTCATTGTGAAGGCCCTGGGTTCAACCCTCAGGACTACCAATCAACCAACCAAACACAGATTAATCAATAAATGCTGGTACAGTAAGAACGCCCAAGATGTGTTCATAAGCACAGTGTGTTGCCAGCCTCCAACTTGGTTCTGGTGTGCCTCTCTTCTGGCCCTCTGCACCCTTAGGTGGCCCCCTCCCAAACTGAAGTGGAGGTGGGGCTGGCCTGTGTGGCCAGCTAAGCCAGGTAGAGGTCAGTCAGTGTGACCTCAATGCCAGGTGTGTACCTTGCCCCTATTTCTCCAGCTCCCTTGTCCTGGACAAAGCCAACCTTCACCTCTGAGCAGCTCTGTGAGAGGCCTCCGTGCAGAGAAACTGAGGCCCTCTTGCCAATCTCCAGCACTCAGCAGCCCTACATGAGCTACTTTGGTCCTGGGGCCTCTGCCACCTCAGGATATCCACACCAGAAGCTGCAAACCTGCTCCTGAATCCATGACCACACAAGCCATGCTAGTAAATATGTAATATTAGTTAAGCCTCAACATTCTCAGGCAATTTGTGTATAAATGTCATAACTAGCTAGTACATAGTTTAACTCCTCTCTTGTGTTTAGAAAACATAGGTACACATGCACAGGAAACGTCTCAGGGGCCATGGAGTTCAGCGTACTCCATGCATGCACAAAGGGGGAGCCGGACTCAGGTAGCACAGTACATTGTCTCAGGACATTTTTGCATGCATGTTCTATTCTTCTACAGCTTTATTGCAAGATTAGGCAACTCAGGATGAGGGGAGATAGCTCAGTGCTGAGCGCTTGCCTTGTAGGCAGGAAGCTCCTGGTTCAAAGCCTCAACCCTCAGAATTCATGTGGAGGACAGAGTGGGAGAAGGTGAGAGTGGCGTGAGTGGGGCCCGCAGAAGGAAAACACGACTGCGAAAGCGTTTGAATCCATCTGCAAGTTTGGCCTGGCCTTAGCCGTGGCAGGAGGCATGAACTCTGCCTTATACAATGTGGACGATGGGCACAGAGCGGTCATCTGTGACCGATTCCACGGAGTGTAGGACATCGTGGTAGGGGAAGGCACTCACTTTCTCATCCTGTGGGGACACAAACCAATTATTTTTGACTGCCACTCTTGACCCCGTAACGTGCCGGTCATCCCTGGCAGCAAAGATTTGCAGAACGTCAACATCACTCTGCGCATCCTCTTCCGGTCCATCGTCAGCCCGCTGCCCCGCGTCTTCACCAGCATCAGTGAGGATTACGACGAGCCGTGCTCCCTTCCATCACCACCGAGATCCTTAAGTCCGCCGTGGCTTGCTTCAACGCCGGTGAGCTGATCACCCAGAGAGAGCTGGTCTCTAGGTACGTGAGCGACGACCTCACGGAGTGAGCAGCTACCTTCGGCTTCATCCTGGACAACGTGTCCTTGACGCATATGACCTTCGGGAAGGAGTTCACAGAAACCGTGGAAGCCAAACAGGTGGATCAGCAGGAAGTGGACAGGGCCAAATTCGTGGTGGGAAAGGCCGAGCAGCAGCAGAAGGCGGCCGTCATCTCCGCAGCAGGCGACTCCAAGACGGCTGAGCTGATTGCCAACTCACTGGCCACTGCGGGCGATGGCCTGATCAAGCTACGGAAGCTGGAAGCCACTGAGGACATCGTGTAACAGCTGTCTTGCTCACGCAATGTCACCTACCTGCTGGCGAGTCAGTTCGTGCTCCTGCAGCTGCCGCAGAGAGCCTGCCCTGAGCCCCTCAGCCCGCTGCGCCCCTAACGCACGCACGCAGGCACCTTCTTCCGTCCCACCCCAGAAATGAATCACTGTGACATTTCATGATTGAGCTAGAAATAAAAGCAAAATCACTTCCGCCCTCCAATTCTCCAACGAAGCTCCTTCGTTCTTCCCGTACCTATCTATTTTTTATCACCTCCCTACCAGAAGTTGTCACATGGCTCCAAAGAGTGGCTCCGGGCTTTGGGAGCCCCAGCCTAGGCACCCGCAGTAGGCAGGACAAAGGCGGGGCAGTGTGGTAAGGAACAGGGGCGCACTGCTGGCCTTCCCAGGAGAGCAGAGCCTCCTCCTTGTCCTTTAGTGATGATTCAAGGACCAGTGGAAGGCAGCAGCTCACTGTAACGGAGCCCTGCAGATGCGCCGGAATTTGCCCCTGCGGAGGTAGGTGGGCCGCGCCTGGCTGGGGTCCTAGAACCAGGATGGACCTGGATAGTGAGGCGAGAGCCGCGGCCCAGATAAGACCTGCTAGAGACTTCCGGCCCCAGTGCCTGGCAGAAACCCATCTTGAAGGATCTGTGCTTGCTAAAGACGCACATCCCTTGTTCGAGCATCCCTCGTTCTGCTGCGGGGGCCCAAGGAATCAATCCTGGGAAGAAAGTAAATGTGTGTAAACCGCATTGTCAATGAACAGCACCCAGACTTTCAAAAAAATGAAACAAAACAAAGCTTAATCCCTCATGTTCTGTGCCTTCTTTGATTTCTGCCACTCTCAAGACATAGCTTGGGAAGTTGGTAGCGCTGTAGTGATTATTGGGAGTCCAAATACTAGAGCAGGGGTAGCGAACCTTTCAGAGCGTTCAGTGACCACAAACAGCCCATTGCGGCATGCATGCCGCAGGTTCACCACCTCTGTACTAGATGGTTGGGCTTTTCTGCTGTTTTTCTCATCAGTGTTTTTCTCTGAGATCAGCCCCAAGAGGAGTCTGCTGCTGGGGCAGGAACTGATTCCATCACTGGCGTTAACAATGGGAGCTAGCTCAGTAGAATAAGCGCTTGTCTGACAAGTGCAAGGGCCTGGGTTCAATCCCCAGTTCTGGGGTGGGGTGGGGGGAGTGAGGGGGGAAGGAGGCGACTTGGCAAAGAATGTTGTGGGATGAGTGGAGGAGCCTCTCCCAGGCCGCTGGGGACTGCTAGTGTGTTGGAGTGGCTCCTCTCAGCTCCGACTGCTGCAGGAGGGGCCAGCATGGAGCTCTAGGCCAAGGCAGGAAGCACTCTGTGCAGGGAGGGGCCCACCTGTACAGAAGAGAGCCGCTCAGACTCCAGCTTCCCCCAGAGGTGTTTCCTGGGTGTGGTCTGAGTGGCTCCCAGTATTCACAAGTCAATGTAACAGCCCCACCCCATGCCCAAGGTTGCAGAGCTTGGAGAAAGACTTGGCCTCTTCCAAACTGAGGGTAGGAGGCCTGGACACCTGCTCCCGTAGGATTAGAAATTTCCGTTTGAGACGGGGTCCCAACTTCCCAGGTGACCTGGAGCGGCTGCCATGGCCTGATTCTGTAATGTGCTATTTAAAAGGTTCAAGGCTCAGAAATGAAGCCCTAATCACTAAACTATGCATACTGATGACTTTAAAGCCCCAGGGCCTAGGAGACCTTGATAACCAGGAAATTAATTATACATTTGAAGCTCCAGCCACAAAAACTCAAGTGGGACACAAAGAAATACCCAGAAAAAAAAAAAATCTGCCATGGAGTCAGCTCAGCATTCGGGCCCTGGAAACTACAACTGCAAATCTGCCTTTACTTTCACACTCAGAGGCTCTCCAGCTGGCTGAGGGGGTGCTCACCTGTGATTTCTGCACTAGGAGAGGCAGAGGCAGGAGGACCACAAGTTCTACCTGGGCCTGGACAATTTAGTGAGAGGAAAAAAAAGTAGGATGAAAGGAAAAAGAAAGCCCAAATTTGCATCCTCTGGAGGAGCAGCGCCATGGGGCAGACATTGTGCTGTGTCACATCCCACGGAGACCCTGACTGGGCCACAGATGGTTGTGCACCACAGGATAAGGAGCCTGAGTTCTGTCTGAGGAAAATCAAGGCCCCAGAAGGAGTCCTCTTGCCTTCTGGTTTGGCTCATGCAACAAAGGTGCTTATTGTTTTGTGTTCAAAAAAATAATAATAATAAAAATTAACTTTTAAATGGTTGGAGATGTAGCCTGGTGTGAAAGCCCTGGGTTCAATACCAGTCTACTCACCCTAGCCCTCCAAAAACTGATAGGGGGACTCTGGTGGAGGACTTGCAGGGGTATACAAACCCTGGGCTCAGTCTCTACCACTGCAATAAATAGATGACTAACAGATAGATGATAGAGGACAGATGATAAATCTATCTAGATCATAGAATGATGGTATAGATAAATGATAGATATAGACAGATGATAGAGATAGCTAGATAGACAGATATAAGAATATTTGCTGCGGAGCATGGTGGCACACACCTGTAATCCCAGCACTTGGGAGGCTGAGGCAGGATAATGGCTGAGAGTTCCAGACCATCCTGGGCTACACAGTGAGTTCAAGGCCAGTTTGAACTGTGTAGTGAAACCCTGCCTCAAAAAAATAAGATCAAAAAGAAAAAGACCATTTATTGATGTAAAAGCTTTCAAGGTAATCATCTCTTCTGATTCTGAAAGGGGATTCTGGAAACCCCAGTCCATCCGAGTCGCAGGTTGAGGAACCCAATTGCAGGGAGGAGAGACTCTGATCTAAGCAGGGGAGAGCTCAGGACACCTCCTAGTCTCTGCTTTTGTGTCACATGTCACACTGTTTGATTTTTCTGAAGGACATGAGTCCCACATAGCTGAGGATCTGGTTGCTCCCCTGTTCTCCTCTATAGGGCTCTTTACAGGGGCTGCAGGTCTTGGGAATTGATCCAAGGGCCTTTGTGCTGAGTTGCATTCACCAGCCTGCTTTTAAATTTATTTTGAGGGCCGGGGAGTTCCACAAAAAAAAAAAAGACAGTAAAATTTTGGGGCTGGGGAGATGGCTTACTGTAATAAGCACATCCCTGGCAAGCACAAGGGCCTGAGTTCAATCCCAAGTTCCGCAAAAATAAAGAAATAAACTTATTTTGAGGGGCTTGCTGGTTAGCTCAGTTGTTTAAGAGCCTAGATGGGCAAACCCAGTCAGGCTTTCAGGATTGTGGTTCAATCCCCAGCTCCCCATACCTTACCAGACCTGCCCTTAAGGCAGCCTGAGCCAGCCCCCCAAAAAAATATAAAAAATTCTAAACTTATTTTGAGCACTGCAAATAACAAGAAAGAAAGCAAGGTGTAAAAGGGAAAGAAAGGGGCAGAGCAGAAAGGAGACGGATGAGCAGCTAAGCCCCTAGGTGGCTGGAGCTGCAGCAGCCCAAGGTGCACCTCGAGGAGGTGTATCAGGCAAAGGAGGGCACCACTGACAGTAATGAAGACAGAAGAGCTACACAACGCACTGTAACAGAAGTTGCGTGGTGGTCTCCTCTGTCAAAATAGCTTCATTTACTTTCACCTTTTCACTTAAAAGAGAACTCCACACTGGGGAGGCTGAGGCAGGAGATTCCTGAAAGTTGGAGGCAAGTCTGGGCTACATTGTGAATCCAGGCCAGCCTGAACTACACAGGATAAGCATTAAGTAAAATCAGGGTTGCTTGGACACAGGAGCTGTGATACTGATACAGGGAGAAAAACTGATCTCGGGTGGGTGACCTCCAAATGATACAGGGAACATCAAAATGACATAGGGAAAAAATTATCTCCCGACTCGACCCAGACAAGTTTGTGTTCTCTAAAACCAAAGAATGAATTTTAGGAACAAACGGAGGTTATGAGCAGAATGTATTTATTGAGGGAGAGAAAGTTCTCCTGTCTGAGAGAGGGACAGGAGGGGGGCCCAATCGGGTTGTGCCCCTGGGGAAGCTGTCTCTTCCAGGGACTTTTATACTGTAAAACCACATGGGCTAAAGTGGAGACAATGGGAACTCGATTAGGTGGGCAGGAGGTGGGATAAAACTATGGTCAACCAATGGGATTACAAGCACCTTTGCTCAGGTAAAATTGATTAAGAGTCCAGGACCAAATGGGGAGCCACGTAGCAAGCAGGCATGAATATAGAACAGGATTTTATGAGATAGCCATCCAATAGTAGTCGGATTAATGATTCTTCTGGCTCCCTCAGGGTGAGGATCAATCTCGGATGCCAATCTTTATGAAGGTCAGCATTTGTTTGATCTCTGGTCTTTAGGTCTGGCCCACAGCGGGAGCATCCATCCCTCTCAGAGTTGCAAGATATCTTGTCTTCTATGGTATCTCCTTCGAGGGCCTGGCCCTGTCTGACTGCCGACAATATTTCTCTCTAACTCGGCTGCCTACAATACTGCAGACAACCCAGTGCACCTAATCATGGGATGCCACAAGGCCAGGCACAGAGCCTGGACCTCAGAACAAAGTGGAGAGTTGCTCGGAGTGAGAGTCCATCCCGCTCCTCCTATAGTGCACTTTAAACTTATGAACTGAAAAAAAAAAAAAAAAAAAATCTTACGAACTACTTATTTGTGAAATTTCCAATTAATATTTTCAGACATTAGTTTGGCTTCCAGCAATGAAATTTCAGGAAACAAAGCCTTGGGGATGGGATAGTATAGTAATAATCACACTCCCCAATACTTGGGAGAGCACAAACACGCCCTCTCATACTTGGGCAGTTTCACATGCTTGAGTCAAACAAGAAGATGCCGTTTGCACCGGGGCAGCACAGGCAGTGGACTTCAGAGAGGAAGGCGCCTAAAAATGTATCGTTGCTGTCTCGTGGCAGGCACTAAGGACTGAACCCAGGGCCTTCTCAGTGAGCCACACCCCCAGGTCTCCAAAGTGCTGGGATTACAGTCATGCACCACCACACTTAGCTAAACAATGAGATTTCTGCCCCCAGAACAGACCAGCAAAATTTACAAAGATTTTCCAGCCTAGTGGTACATGCCTGTGACCCTAAAAACTTGACAGTCTGAGACGGGAGGATCACAAATTCAAGGCCAGCTTGGGCCACTTAGCAAGACCTCGTCCAAAATGGAAACTTCACAAAGGGGAACAGCTCACTGATGGAGTGCTTGCCTGACAGATTCAATTCCCAGCGCCAAAATTGATTTTTTTTCTACAAAGTTGATGGCATCAAGTGTGATAAACATTTCAGGACTCAGGTCGCAACGTAGTTTTGGTAGTCAATTTGGCAAAAGGTACCCCAGTGTAGACATGCAACCGGGCCCAAGCTTCTCCACGGTGGGAGAGACTACCCAAGAGCTGGTCTGCACCTGCAGGTGCTCTGTCTTGGGGGAAGACTCACCCAAGAGCTTGTCTGCACATTCGGGTGCTCCATCTTGATGGGAGACTCTACCCAAGGGCTGGTCTTCACCTGTGGGTGCTCTGTCTCTGTGGGAGACTCTAACCAAGAGCTGGTCCACTTCCGGTGCTCTCTCTTGGTGGGAGACTTGGCCCAAGGGCTGGTCGGTGCCTGCAGGTGCTCTGTCACAGAGCTGAACCCCAGTCCTGAAACAGTCATCTGATTTTTGACCTGACCTTTCTACTTCCAGAAACCCTCCAAAAATGCTCTCACAAATGTCTATACATACATGTAGTCCCCAGAACATGTGCACCGGCCCTGCCCCCGGGCACACTGAGAGGGCCACAGAGTTCAGGCATGGTGG